GTCTTTATCAGCTTCCAAATAAAGATTATTTTGTCAGTCTCTGCATTTGGTACAATTGTTTTCACCTTTAAATGATGTATTGTATTTATTATTATTTATTTGTGTGTGTGTGTGTGTGCAAGAACAAAAGCTACAACAAAGCAGTGACATGAGTTCATCAGAGCCAGGTGACTTATTGTTGGACACAGAGAAGATGGAAGTTCCTCTGAGGTTATGGGCTGATCTAATATGGCGGCTTCTTCTTTAGGATAGTTTTGGGAGTTCAGTGTTCAAATTGGATCTGTCCATTTTGTCTTAAGCTGTAAATGTTCTCATACTTTCTTGTAAAAAGCAAAAATTGGGACATTTTAGCAGGATGATAAAGGATTTTTCCTATTGAACCACCTCCTATTCATGCACCACAATATAGAAGAGAACAAGCCATAAGTACACAAATACACAGAGATAAAGTATGAGATGTGTGTGTGAGTGTGTGTGTGTGTGTGTGAACTGTTATATGCAGTGTGATGACCCCTCCCACTCTGGTTGTTGTTGTGTGTGTTTTCATTTCTTCTTGAAGGGGTGCGGCTGGGTTAACTTGCTCCCTGACTGCTGGCCTGTATATAGAGCTCAACCTAGTTAGTTATCTCTCTCCTCGCAGCCAACAGGATCTTTCATGTTTGCTTAGATTTGTTTTTCACATTAGCTTTCTCCCTGCACCCCACTAGGCCCATATCCACACACTCACTACAACACTGACAACACTAATATGTTTATAATTGGTGTATAGTTCAATATTGGTTAAATGTTTTTAAAAAAAAACGTATTTATCTGTGTGGTCTCCCTTGTTTTTGTTTGTTGTTTCTCTCCAGTTCATCACATGAACATAAATCACCATAAACCATAAATGGAGGAATCCCTGTACAATTATCCTTCACTGTATAGTTACAGTTACAGTTACAGGATTGAGTACAGTATTGGGAATTAACAGGGTCATTCAGCCCAAATTCTTGCTTTTCATCGGCTCTTTTTTCTGTAAAATATGCGAATTCAAGGCTCTTATTTCCTGATGTAGCAGTTTTTTTTTGTTGTTGATGGATTTAAAAACACTGACCTTTTTGTCTGTGGTGTCGGCGGATGAGTCCTTCTTCTTCCTTTTCGCCGGTTTCGGTGTCTTATGGTCCGGGTCTCTGTTGTCTTCCTCCATTGCTGAGCGACTGCGGTAAAGTGAGCCGCTGTCAGATGTCGTTAATACGGTCCTGAAAGGTACATAGACCCGTTTTTTGTCCTCTTCTTTTATGAACATGACTACATAATAAAATAATAAGAAGAAGAATTACAATAATAAATACAATAATAGAAAATATACAAAATGTGCAACATTTACTTTTTCTATGAACATAAATAACACTATAGTATAACTACTACTACTACTACTAATAATTCTAATAATAATGACCCAAACTAGAACTATGTAAGATTTATACTGATTTTACTGTACTGTTTTTTTTAGATAATTAAAGGGGAAGTCTGCTCAATTTTTATGATACTATTCAAACTGTCTTCATATTCAGTAGGTTAGCTAAAACTTGCAATGTCATCTTATGGATGAACTCCTCTGTACCCATGGGAGATAGGGACTAACTTTACTGTATAGTTTTTGAATAAATTAAAAGGTAAAGTTGGCTCAATTTCAATCATAAACATCACAATTTCCTTAGATTTGAATGGTCATATTTCCTGTTTTTGAGTAAGTTAGCTAAATTGTTCAATGTAATCTTGTTAAGGATGACCCCCTCTGTATCCATGGGAGATTTGGACTGATATTACTGTATAGTGTTTAAAAAAATAGACTAGGACTAGAGTGATATTGGTAAGACTCAGCTTCTGATGGGTTTAAATGATGTTGGAGGGGTCTGCTCACCTGTTAATTCATCATTGACTCTTTGAAGGGTTTGAAAAAGTCTTCTGAGCATCAAAGTTCATTCTTGACAAAGAAAATATTAGTTTTTGTTGATTCATTTTTAAAAACATATTAGCTTAATGGCTTTTTCTGGAGCTTTTAACCCCATCTCAAGGTCTTTATCAGCTTTCAAATAAAGATGATTTCCTCAGTCTCTGCATTTGGCACAAAATTGGCACACAATTTCGCCTTTACATAAATTATGTATTTTATTTATTCTTATGAAACATGTGCTGCTTACCGCTATACTGTCAGTGCTTTGGTCCAGTATACTTCAGAAAGCGGTGCTTGATCGTACGCACGTCTAACTGTGTAGCAAAGAATATAATAAAACTCTAAAATGCATGTTTTGTTTTAGATTTTTTAATACCTGAAAACAATCACCTTTACAGATTGCACACAAATACACACACAATCTCACATGAATATACATTAGTGCAAATCGCAAAAAAATTAACAAGGAGTTTTGCACCAGGCCAAAAATTTCTCAGTGTGACTTAGTTGGTTTGGTAGGAGCAAAATGGCAGTTATCAGTTACACAGAATTAAAAATATTCAAGATAACTTGCCCAAAGACCTGCAGTCATACTGTGGCTTTATTAACTGAGAGCAGATCATTGTTAATCTGTTACACATCAACACCAAGCCAAATGGCTCTGATGCATCATATTGTATGTTCACTTTAGTTGTAGCACACATGGCTTCACGTGTTAAAAAGGTCCAGTGTGTAGGATTCAGGGGCTTCTAGAGGTGTGGTTGCTGATTCACCCTCCCTTTCCAAGCATGAGGGAGAAACTACTACACAAACTGCCCCATCTAGAGCCAGTGTTTGTCCGTTCTGGGCTACTGTAGAAACAATAGAAGGCAACCCGCAGCGTCTGTAGATTAAAAAACAGCTCATTCTATTCTTATTTCAGGTGATTATACGCTAACTGAAACATACGTATGGATATTATATTCCCTTTCTGCCGATAGATCCTCCTGAATGTTACACACTGGACTTTTAAAAAGACAACATGGCACTTTAACCTCAACTGTGCAGCTCCGCAAATCATGACAGTTTGAGGATTACTGGAAACATATAAAAATATCAAATTCAACTGCTTATGAACGATGTCAATTAAAACATTATTTCCAATACAGTCTACATACACTGCTGGGAATGATTAGGCATATTAGACGATAGAGAACCAGAGTTGAGGAAAATTCTACCTATTTGACTTCTCGTAATATGTAACAACCTCTAGGTAACAGCTCCAAGAAATCCTAATCAGCTACTTCTGTCTGTGTCTGTAATGTACAGGCAGTGGACAAAATAACAGGAACACCTTTAAAAGTATACTGCGTCCCGATTTAACACCAAAAACTACAGCATCATACAAATGCCACAGAATTGAGTTAACACCTCTGACAGCCTCAACAACAAAATAACATTGTAAGCTTCACACATGAACAATGTATTGCAGGGCTTTTACTTTGGAGTGCACTGTATTGTCAGGTGTTCCTGTTTTTTGTCCCATAGAAGCCAAAATGTTACACGAAGGAAATTGTTGCACGTATCAAAGAAACGTTTAAAGAAAAAAATCTTGCAGGTCCATAATCTTTGGGATTGAGAGCCTCCCACTCTGGATCAGAGACGTGTGCTCTCGTGTATTTAATGTCAGAACACATCAAACGACGACCTTTAAACATGTTGTGATCCATGGTGCGAAATGATCTCTACAATAACCCTCTGGTCTCATTGTCACAAAATCATAATCCACCTGTTGGTACCCACGTTGTACAGCAACCGGCAAATGCAGCGGTGACAGTCTGAGTGGAAAGACAGAAGTTAATCAGGCTTCTGGTTACTCCTCCGAGCACAGAGCGAGGTGCAGCCTTCGGACTCTCTCGTAGAAGAGCATGTACGCGTTGGAAGACAGCACCTCGTGCAGGCTGGCTTTTCGTACCGAGTCGTCCGACACCCAAAGCCACTGAGAGCTGAAGGGGGTAGAGCTGCGAGGTGAGGAAGGGCTGCGGCGGTACGTCACAAAATGTCCTGAGTGCATGTCACCGTGGTGAACCAGCACAGCCGTGAGCTGGAAAAGGTACTCTGTAGAACTGGAGGGAAAGACACTGTGATCAAAAGACATGTACAGATGGGTGCAAAGGAAATACTAACTTATAAAGTTTGTATTAAGTTGTTATGGCCACCACAAGCCAGCCCAAAATCTTCTGTCAGTCTAAAATCTCTTAAAGGTGTTTAACAGGTTGTGATCTGTTGATGTGAAAGGGGCTTTAGATAATCACCACAACACTGAATAGCATGATATGCTGATATTTTAAAGAGGTACTCCACCTTAAAATGTGTTTTTTGAGCTACAAACTAAATGATGTGACTATACTGTGATGAAACACATCAAAACTATTACCAAAAGAAATCTGCTTTTTGTGTGTTCAAAATGGCTGTTTTAGATCACCCTGCAAGGTCAATGCTGACATAGAGTCTATTTTGGTGTAATGAACTTTGTGCTTTAACAGCTGTACAACCACAGAACTGCAATGTTTACTGAGACAGCAGCTGCTCATAGCTGGTTAGCTCTGACAACCAGCAGTAGCTTTCTGCTACACTGCTGCGGTCAGTCTGTCAATCACTGTGGTCTGTGTCAAGGCCACGCCCCCTAAAGTCACTGTCCTTTGCAGGTCTCTGGTGCCTTTTTTTCAAAAAATGTGCTGAGAGGGAGGGAGCCAGCTGAACTGAAGGGTGTAGTGACACTTTAAGTTTACCTGTAGTCATATGTGAGGCCGAGCGGTGGGTTCACACCAGGAGAGTGAAGTAATACAGAAGAACAAGTTCCATTGGAAAAAGGTTTGTTGTTGTTGTTACGATGCTCTGCTTCTGGAAGACAAAACACAAACAAATGTATGACAAAACCAAACAAAATGAAACAGAATGATATTTTAGAGATGATGAATCCAACATACCGGTTCCATTAGCAGTGGGTTTCTCCACGGAATCGTCTGAATTTTCTGCCCTTATGGGATTTGGAGCACATTTGACCCGCTGACTTCTCAGTGTGGAAGCTGTATGTTTGTAGCGGTCCATGGATAGATACTCTGTGAACTGCACATGCTCCTGTCTTTTGATAGGAGTTCCTTCACTGGACCACGTCAGTCTTTGTAAATGGATGCAGAGGCACTGGGGGAGCTGGCAGAAAACGTCAGAGAGTACAGAGAGTTTAGGTTTATTAACATCTCAGGCTGCTGATGTTGAGCTAATAGTGACACAATAAATATGACAGTTACCTTTCCCAGTTTTAGCTGTTTAACAAATGTCGTCCTCTGGCTTTCCAGAACTTGCCCATTTACTGTGGACCCTTGATGAAGCTGAGGGGAAATTATCCGAAACAAAAATGAAACACAAGCATCATTTCTTAGTAGATAAACACTTAATCATATGAATACAAATGAAGTACCTTGATTTTGTCACAAGGGTTTCCCGTCTATAGTTTCATTTTCAGTGAATTACACATTAACACAATGATACCCCGAATTGGCAAACAGATACTGTAGTGAATGTACCTTGGTGCAGTTTTCACACTCCACTTCTTTGATGGTTTCTGAGGAGATGAAATGCTGGAGACACTGATCTAGAGACATAGGTCGCCCCTGAGGACAAACGCAGATCAAATGATGACAAACAGAACAACAGAAAGGTACATTAAGTAATAAAACTATAATAATAATAATAATATTCATGTGTTCCTGGAATGTTTGCTTACCCACTGAGGTAAAGGGATGGACAGGGAGAGACTCTCAAATGAGTCATATCGAACCGGACTCTACACAGAGGCAAAGTAAAAAAGTCAAACACAAAACTAACTTGCTATTCACTTCCTGGCAAAAAACAAACAAACCACAAACTCACTTGTTGTTCGCAGCGCTTGCATGACATGTTGCTTGTTAGACGACCATGAAAAGGATGCTGAAACTTCCAAGGACTTGGTATTGGATGAAGAGGGGCTGCAAAAAGAAGAAATTAATACAGATCAAATATTTTCTTTATGGTTTGATATTCTAGGCTCCAAAACGTCTTCGTCTACTTACCTCGACTTCTGCAGGTCATAGTTTTCTCATCTTGATCAGGTAGACTCTGGTATAAAAACAAACACACAGAATAACTGGAAGTGAAGTATGAGATTTGTCATTTTTTTAAATTCGACATAAAAAATTCCTAGGAGGCAGAGTCTACACATGTGTTTCAAAGTGCTGAACTGAACTTCGGAGCATACTGGAGGTATCGGCATGCAAGAGATATGTGTGTGTAGTTTTAGGTACAAGCAAGTCTGGAGATGGTAACTTGCCTCGAGGGACTGCACGTCAAACAAGTGAGTGACTTTGGGTTGATGATCCCGCTCCTCCTCCAGAGAAGATGTAAGGACATGAAAAAGTTCATGTGCATCCTGAGAACAAACAGACAGACTTTAATAAGACACTGAATCTTACATTATATAGAGAAATATAAGAAATACCATTTAAAATCATTTTGTGACTAACCTGCTCTTCAAATGAACTAATGTGCCACCGGTACAGCCGGAGAACATCCAGGAGGCATCCGGCATCGAGTACATCTTCCTCCCCAGGCTCATCACTGGACAGAGCTGTTAGAGACACAATCGGTGACAAAGATATGAAGAAATGGGGCGCCGGGAATCTTATCTGATCTCTCCAGCTTGACCCGGTGACCCTCTGCTCCTCTCTCTCTACGGACTGAGGTACTGCCACCCCCCATATGAAACACTACACGTCCACTGCACTCTAGTGACTGATATCACAGACTGGTTTTATATACCTTTGAGAAGCTGAAGCAGTGTTGTGGACAACTGGTTGTCTTTGCATGACTGGATCGTAGGCGAACCTGAAAACTTCTCCAGCCAGCCGATGAAGGACGGACATGATGCCAAACCCTGAAGCAAAGAGTTCAGGAAGCAGGTGTTGCCTAAGTTCAACAGACCAGGAACCATACCTGAAAGAAAGCACGAGTCACAGCGAGGTACTGCTTTACAACCAGTACACTACACAGGTATTGTACGACATGTTATGTGGTTATTCTTACCTCTCTTTCTCTTCTTTCTCTCTGTAATTGGGCCCCACAAAACGTATACTCCGGCCGCAAACGCAGCAGCTATCCCACCAATGACGCCCCAGTTTTTTATCATCTTGTTTCTGAAAAGACATTAACATTATGTTACTGACGCGCACTGGATGACTTCAAATGGGAGAGGAGTGAAAGAGAAACGACAAGAAGAAACATGCCCAGCTCCTCCGGCTGCGTGTCGAAGTGTCCTTGAGCAAAACACTGAACCCCAAACTGCCCCCAGTGCTGTGCCATCGGTGTGTGAATGTGTGTGAGCAGCCTCTGGCCCTCTCTCTCTCTCTGTGTGAGAAGATTATCAGCACTGGTAAGCGTTTATCCTGCATTACCCTTCATGTTTCACGGGTTAAATCAGAACTCGGAAACACTCCCTTTAGACTTTTAGGGAGCAATATACTGAGTATTAATCTTTAATTAACGTTTGCGTCCTTATTGTCTATATCATTTTTGTTTAT